GAGGATGGAAGTTGACTATCCATAATTGATGTAAATGAGGAGCTCTCCCACGGCAAACGCTGTGTGAAACTGTCCTTCTGTGTGTGTGTGTGTGTCTGTGTGTGTGTGTGTGTGTGTGTGTGTGTGTGTGTGTGTGTGTGTGGCAGGAGACATGGGGCTTTGTGGGTTGCATTTTAAGTTATCAGACTTAAGGTTATATCTCGTGCCATCGTGTACTCAGGAAAACTTGGAATGCAGTTAAGAACAAAACCGAGACAATGTAACATGCAGCGTGCCCCAGAGTTGGGAGTACATTAAGAGCTGTGACAGGGAGAGCTGGCGAGGAGGCAGAAGAAGAAGGGGAGAGAGAGAACGAGCCAAACAAGGTGAAATCTTTGTCTTGACACAGGCATAAATTGAAATCTTCCGTACTGACCTTGTATGAATTGATAACGTCCTGGCACTTCAATAATGGATACTCCCCCCTCACCACGCACACGCGCCAACCCTCTTCTTTTTTTTTTTCACTTTTCTCATGGGCCAAGTAGCCCGATGTTTCATTCGGCTGGCCTGCAAGCAAAATTAATATTTTACCGAGCATAACCACCATCTCTTTCTCCATCAGTGTCTCTGACATGCAAACGAACAAGACGATCGCATTCACGCAGGATAAGTGAGGTGAGGGTGATAGTATGCTTTGCTATCACCCCCACCCCACCCCCACTGTATCTGTCAAGCTCTAATTTGTCTTTGTCTTTCCAACAGATGATGCAGGTACAGTAAATGTGCTGGTGTGGGGAAATTGGAGAATTTCTCCGTCACGCTAATTAAATTGCGGATTGCATTGTACACATGTTCATGTGTTCCAGATATAGTTGACACATGTAGAAAGAGTAAATGAGACATCTGGTTTAAGAAGCTGTCAGTCTGTTGTTTGGAGCTACTTATTGTGAACAAATGCACCCACTAAAGCCAAAACACAGGAAGCACTTCTTTCATATAGGAGGGCTGGAATCTTAATTTTTGACGACTTCTGAATAAGAAGTGTAATTTTAAAGGGGGAAACAGCATGAGGAAATCACAGGAACAAAAAAAGTGTGGTTTCGAAGAGTGAATGTGAAAACCGACCTGCAGAGATTGCACTCAGGTAGTTAAAGCTGGCTGTTAGGCTCAAGTCAGGGCTGCCAAATCTCACACACTGAGACTCACGCTATTGACGTTTTTCACAGGCTCTCACACCACATGTCCTTTTTCCTCATGCAGTGAAAAAACCCTCTAACTTGTAACATGCAACATGAAAAGAGGACGGTAACGGCATAGAGATATACTACACAGAACAGGCAGCACACTGCAGCAGAGCATTCACGGGAAAGGCAGAACATAGCTCTAAATCCATCATAGTGTAACTTAATTTTATGCATGCAACTCAGCCAGTGGCTCTTGATACATCTCTTCTTGTCTTCTTGCATCCAAGCAGAAATCACTGTGCCTGACAGATGAAGCCAGAACAGTAAAAATAAAATGCAGTTCCTGGAATGGCCACTTGAGGCTGACTCACAAAAGAGAGCGAATCCATGCATGTGGCACAACTTTCTACAGTCAGTGTTGGGAAGGTTACTTTTAAAATGTATTCCACTACAGATTACAGAATACATGCCCAAAATGTATTTTGTAACATATTCCGTTACGTTACTCAATGAGAGTAACGTATTCTAAATACTTTGGATTACTTAATATATTGTCATGCTTTTTACAACTACATGAATGTACTATTGCTGTGTGATTTATTACTATTAAGGTTACTCGCCATAACAATACCAACTAGATGTTAAAATCTTAATATAAAATGAGTAACAGTAGGGTGGACATTAGGTAAGGCTGCACTTTTTGCAGCAATCTATAGAAAACTATTCTGCGCGTATATAAAACAGGTCTGCTGCTCCGAACCGTAGCAAAGGGACCTCTGGCTAATACGTCGGGTTCGTGTCGGGCTCATAGCTGAAAACTAGCTTTACTTTGTGTCTGAGTCAACTTTGCTAGCGAGAGACAGAGAGAGGCGTTAAAAGGCTGCTCCAACGGAACTTATTGTTTCGCACGAAAACAGAACACAGTCTACAGTCGAGTGTTAATAGCTTACTGGGCTACACTGCCCATGAGACTACATTATTTAGGGCTATGCCTGTAACACTCTGCCTATTGCCTTCATATTGAATTGTTTTTTGAACAATAATTTTAAAAATATTTCGTCACGTCATTATGTGGCCGCAAATAGAGGTGACATGGGCCGCGAGATTGAGACACAGAGCCTCTTAATGCGTGTTTTCTTTGGGTTTCCACCAGCGTGGAATTACCAAAAATAGAGAGGGGACAGCCTAACATACGAAACAGGAAAAGACCGCCGTGTAATCCATTTATTTCAACAAAGTAACTGTGTTCTGAATACCACCTTTTTAAACGGTAACTGTAACGGAATACAGTTACTCATATTTTGTATTTTAAATGCGAAATGCATAATAAAATTACTAGAATGCAGGAAATGAGTCTATGAAAGAGAAAATACTAAAGTCTAGCTAAGGTAAACATGCAAATTTAAAGGATTTGTTGTAGTTATGGGCCCTTTGAATCTAATGCCCAATTTATACCTTGAATTCAATCTTAAAAACTATGACATATTAAGCTAACTTATCAGTTAAATTGAACAGTCTCAATTTTCAAACATTGATCACATAAGCTAAAGTCTGTTGTTTTTCCGATTGTATGCAAAGTCTATCACAACGACTAAACACTGTAAAACCTAAAAGGAAGGTTTTAATTTTTGTTGTCATTTTAAAGTCTTTAAATCAAAGATTCTTTTCCACTCATTTACATTACTTGTGTATACATACAGTAGTCTTTGCTTATTAATGTGGGATAGTCAAATAAGCTACCTATTTCAAACTATATACTCCAGTTTCATATGCTAATGGGAAAAGAAGGGTTGCTCCTTTAATTAGTCATGTAGCTAGCTGATGTGCTTTTATTGCATCTGGCAGTTATGAAGAGGATTGATGGAAACATTTCTCAAATGAATAACCAGCTGAAGGGCCTAAGCAAAAGGAGATTCCAGTACTTATTATATAGCCAATTCTGAGTGTGCAG